TGGGCTCTCCAATTTAGCAGACAACATGATCCACTGGCTGGTGCCAGACAAATTCAGATTAGAAATCAAGGATGCTGGAATGTGGAAACAGCACCAAGGAGCATAGTCCTCCCACTTTTTGCCATGGGCTTGGCCTCCTGCCTCATCTCTTCCCCTGACATCCCGCTTCCTGCCCAGGCTGGAAGCTGGAACCCAGCTTGAGTAAGAGCAGCCCAGCCAGCTGTGGATCCTCCACCTGATGGAGGTGGGGACAAGAGCAGCCTCCTGCTGTTGTCTCTGCCTCCTGGGCCCTCTGCCTAGAGGCTGTGGCGACTGGGGCTCCTCACAGCTGCCCAAGCAGCTCTCACCATAGCCCAGCTGCAGCTCTTTGGTCACCAACACTCCACCTCCAGGTCAAGCTGGAAGTCAGACTCAAAACTAGGTGGGGTTAAGAGTCACGTGGGCAGATGTGGATCCTCCACCTGCCCTGGATGGAAGACTGATACATGAGCCAGAGGCTGCCGTTGTCTCCCTGGCAAATGGAGGAGAGTGGAACCTTGTGTCCTCCCACCTCTACTTTTAGAAAGAATCTGTTGCCCCTGCTGGAAATAAGACAAATCTTTTACAGTGAGGGTATTTAACCATTTCCTCAGGGTTGTGGTGGATTCTCCATCACTAGCAATTTTAAAATCAAGAATGGATGTTCTTCTGAAAGATCTGTTGTAGAAATTATTTTACAGTACACAAGCCATAGAATTTCTATCACCGATACTACAGGAATTCAGACTAGATGATCACAATCGCCCCTTCTAGTCTTGGAAGGAGTTGAATGTGTGTCTTTCTAAACTTTTTGCCATAATTACATTATACTTTTTCCTTGCCAATTGGGTCGGATATGACTTGGCCTCTAGCATCACCAAAAGTGCTGCATTTATAAAGAAAAAAATTGAGACAAATTCACTACTATGTACATTTACAATTCATACAATGTATAAATATGCATATATTCAGGGTATTGTACAAATATTCTGTTTGTGGACAAATGCTGCTTATTAGGAGAATGACAAAAGTTTTAAGTAACGGGGTTTAATATCTTTGCCTCACAAGAGGAACAGTTTATTTCAGATACAGTGAGCACAATTTAGACTACATACCTAACTCACCTTCTGCAAGAAAAGTTATGATGAATTATGAATTCACTAGCAATGTAAATCATCCATCTGTCCTCTATTTTTTCTATCCCATTCCCACACACCTACTGTAGGCTTGTCTACACAGCTGAATGCACACAGACTGCCGTGAATTAACTGGCTGTGCCGACTCTATCGCCGTGCATTAAAAGTATCAAATTTTTAGTGCAAGATAGCAAGGTCAAGAAGGCCAGTTAGCGTATAAAAGTTTTGCAAGCTGTATGTTCACCCCCTAGCTTGCTGTACACTAAGCAGCCAGGGAGACAAGATCCCAAGATTAAAAATTGACACTTCAACATTTTCTAAAAATGTAAGCAGATACAAAAAATGGTTAGTCCCTGAAATTATGTCATAATAGGTAAAAGTACAATGACAAGATGGGCAACTGTTTCACAGTTTTCATATACAGTTCAAGGAGTGAGGGAGGTAGGGTGGGAAGGAGAATGTTTTAGATACTAGGGAATGTCTTAACATTATATACGACCAGAATAATGATCTGAAGTACTTTAAAATGTTAGACATATAATTACCAACATAATGTCGTTTGCCAAAACACAAACAACATAAAGACATAGTTGTACATAGGACTGGAATTCTGATTTTTTTTAAATGAAATGTTTATCAGTTTGTAAAGATTAACAATCTCTTCTGTTCCAGCACCTTGTCTTTACTATTTTGTCAGAAAGGAAATTGTAAAGACTAAACTACTTCTTGCAGTCTGAATGACATGATCTGGAAAGTCTTGATTTGATAATAGATGGGCCAACTCTCTTAAATCTCTGATCACTGGTTGAAATTAAAGAATTGCTATCCATCTTTCTTTCAAATATTTGAATGTAAGTGGTCAACATTTCTAAAACAGGAAGGATGAAAAAAATCTCACATCTCAGTTAATTGACTGATAATACTCAAAAATAAAACTGGTTTTGGATTTTTATTAGTAATTATTGATCACCATCTTTTTTTCTCATTTCACACAAAAATAGATGAAAAGAATAGTGAGGGTTGAGTAAGCCAAACGCAGGTTGCATGTGGCCCACTGAGGTTCAATGTGTAAGCCCACAGACATTTTGTTTACCATTGCCCACACACAGGGTTGCCACATTCCACTTGTTTCCATCAACATAAGGGTTTTTTCCCTACTGGTATTACTAAAATGACATGCACGTAAAGCAAGGGCATGTGAAGTGAGATGCACTCTGCATGCAACGTTAAATGACTGTGAGAGCCATGTGCTCCCTCTGCATCCAATCAAAGTGCTGCTCTGGTTCAATCAAACTCACTAGCCTAGGTTGCCCATGGGGATGTCAATATAATGCCCCATTATAGCATTTGTTGTTTGTTTTTTTAAAAAAATAACTAGGAAATAACACACATTGTGTTGAAAATACAATATTAAGGTTGCAAAATTAAATGCTCAAAAGTTAGGAAATACCACAATTTGGGTATGTCTAAACTACATGCCTCCGTCGACGGAGGCATGTAGTTTAGACATACCCAAATTGTGGTATTTCCTAACTTTTGAGCATTTAATTTTGCAACCTTAATATTGTATTTTCAACACAATGTGTGTTATTTCCTAGTTATTTTTTTAAAAAAACAAACAACAAATGCTATAATGGGGCATTATATTGACATCCCCATGGGCAACCTAGGCTAGTGAGTTTGATTGAACCAGAGCAGCACTTTGATTGGATGCAGAGGGAGCACATGGCTCTCACAGTCATTTAACGTTGCATGCAGAGTGCATCTCACTTCACATGCCCTTGCTTTATGTGCATGTCATTTTAGTAATACCAGTAGGGAAAAAACCCTTATGTTGATGGAAACAAGTGGAATGTGGCAACCCTGTGTGTGGGCAATGGTAAACAAAATGTCTGTGGGCTTACACATTGAACCTCAGTGGGCCACATGCAACCTGCGTGTTATCCACCGCTGTTTTAGAGTCACCACACAGAGCTCTGCCATTTGAGCCAGTAGGGTACCTGATAGCAGGAGTACACTGCCATCTACTACATGGACTAGCACTGCTGGGGGATGGGACACACACTATGACAATGAGTTGCACAGATATTTGCAGACACCAAAGGAATGGTGAGACTCAGAAATCTTGGATACGATTTTAAATTCGGAGGGAGTGTGTACTCCAGTGGGCACAGACTCTCCTTCCCATTTCCCCCAGGCCTGACAGCTTTTGTCCCACTTCTTCCCCTCCAACTTGTCCCTGTCCTGTCTCTTTCCCAGCCCTGGCTCCTGGTGTCAGTCTCCTTCTCTGGCCACTTGCAGCCTCCATTCCTAAGGCTTCTCAACCTTTCCCCTATCCAGCTGGATGTCTCCACCCCACAGCTCTTTGGCTGGTGTCTCTCCCTTTTCCACACTAGTTCCAGTCTCTATTCCTGGGCTCCTCAACCAATCTTAGTTCCCTCCTCCCACCTGGGCTCCTTGCCTCAGTCTCAACACCCAGCCAGTCCCAGTTCTCTCTTATAGACAACTCTTCAACAAATGTCTCTTCTCCCAGCTGCCAGCTGGATGTCTCCACCCCACAGCTCTTTGGCTGGTGTCTCTCCCTTTTCCACACTAGTTCCAGTCTCTATTCCTGGGCTCCTCAACCAATCTTAGTTCCCTCCTCCCACCTGGGCTCCTTGCCTCAGTCTCAACACCCAGCCAGTCCCAGTTCTCTCTTATAGACAACTCTTCAACAAATGTCTCTTCTCCCAGCTGCCCTGCCACATTGGTTCCTAGTCCCAGTCTCATTTTAGTTCCTCATCTGATCTCACTATCTTCCCCTCCCAGACAACTGGCTCTCAGTCCGTCTCCTTGCCCAGTCTCTCCCCCACAGAATCAGCTTCTAGTCAGTTTCTCACCCATTCTAGTACCACTCTCACAAGACTCCTTGTCCTAATCTACTCTTGCCCCCCAAGTCCAGCTTTTGTTCTCTCTACATTCAAATCAATTGGTTACATTGCCCATACTGCCTTGGTGAAGACTGCAAGCAGGAGTGATTCTGACAGCAAGGAGAGAGAGACTCCCAGATCACAATTCTGATATTACTCTGACTTGAAGCAGCTGTTAAAAGGAAATTCTGAGCCCTTGTCTCTAGCACAGTGCTGGGCAAAATACGGCCCGGTGGCCGGATCCAGCCCACGGACCCCCCTGCCAGGACCCTCAGGCACATGCAGCTGCTGCGATTTAAAACTCAGTCCCTGCATCTCCCTGGTCTGCAGGAAGCGGGAGGCTTTGCGCAATCTCCCCACCCCTAGCCCAATCCTCAGCTTCTAGTGGCCAGAAACAACTGGCCAGTAGGAACTGACCTCAGCCTCTCAGCTCCTATTGGCTGGAAACAGCCAGCCAATCAGAGCTGAGAAATTGGCCTGAGAGACTGGGGTAGTAGAGTTGAGAGCTATGTGGAGGGAGCAGCCTGTATTTTCAAGTGAGCTGGGGCTGCTGCAGGCATGGAGCCCGGCCTGCCTTGGGGGGCCTGCAGCCTGCTGGCCAGGAGACAGTTAGGTAAATTCCTCCTAGCCAACGCCAGTCTCTTGCACTCCAACTCCGTCCCCCAGACTATCATCCAAACCCTCCGCACCCTCTGTCCCAGGTGACAGCTCCCTCCTGAATCCTGTACCTCCTCCTACACCCCTCCCCCAGGCCAGAATCCACTCCTGCACCCATACTCACTCCCTAATCCTACACCCCAATCCCCTGACCCAGGTCACAACCCCCTCCTCCACCCAAAAACTCTCTCAGACCCCATACCATCTCCTGCACTCCAGTCCCTCACCCTGTGCACCCTTCTGCATCCAACCTCCCCCTGAAACCTCTGTACAGAAAAGTGCAGCCCTTGACCACATACCAAAATCTTGGAGTGGCCCCCCACCAAAAATTATTGCCCCACCCCTGCTATAGCATGCGCAGGTGTTCTGTGGGACTGCTGCATGCACAGTCTTGTTGGAGCATATTCAGTGAGGATGGAAATCTCTAGTAAGGCTCTACTGTGCATAATTCTTCAAAGACTTAAAACTTGGCCAAATTCAAGTGGATTTTCATGGGCAAGACAAAAGTCACATCCATGACACAAAATCAACCCTCTTGCACCAAAGCACAGGTATGCTAGAACAGTTCAAGAAGAATCAAGAACTTAACATGGGCAAACAATATTTTTTTCCTTTGCCTCATTCTCAGAAATGGTGAACCATTTCTGCTGAAGTTTTTCAAAAAATTTAGCATGAGCCAGACACCAAGCACGGAAAATTTCAGCCCAAATTGATAAAGTATAGCCAAGTTATAAGCAAGGGAAAACATGATCTTATAATGGGAGGTGATGGGCAATCTTAATAACACAAATGAGAAATAATATACATAGTTTATGCATATTTATTTTACAGTATTTTTGCTAGTTTTGAAATATGAATCTATGTTCAAAAAATGTTAACTGGCTAGTTCCTTTCAGATGATTTCACAAGATGCAGGACTCAAACACAGCATGTCCCCTAGTGTGAAATACAGTGAAACAGCAGCTTTTTAAGATGCCTAACATTTACTTGGAAAATAAGCTCTCAATCCTTATCTTACTAATTAGTAGAGTTTTCAGATATGAAGTTCAGTATGTCTGATTCTCAGGGTTGTGACCCTCATACTTACTTTAGTGAGCATTTATTTTTATGAATAGTCCCACAGACACTGACTTCTAGCACCCCTAGATTTCATCAGGACTAGTTATGCAAAACAGTGCTCACCAGTATGAGTAAGAGTTTCACATTCATGTCCATAGATACAGTGTACTTAAGATACATCAGTTGTTTATCTCCAGTAAGAAATGATGGTAACAATAATGTAGATCTATTTGCAAATAGGATGTCAAATATTTTTAAAAGTGTTGACCAGCTACTCTAATGGACAGATATTGGATAATATTTAAAATAAACTCTTCAAAAAATGTTCAAAGCACAATAAAAACATTGAAGGATTTTTCCTTCTTCTGTTTCTTATACAGTAAGATATGTAGCAATATGTAACTACATTATTGGCACCAGATAATTAGTGATATTTAAAGGACTCTAGAATTACTTCTACAGCTTTTTCTGCCCTGAAAATCTACTTTGACAAGATATTTCTTACTTTTTTAATCCAATTAATCACCTACTTTAGATGGACATTGTACCTCTCAAGCCCGGCAGTATGTACTATGTGCTTAATAAAATCCATCCTGGAATCTTCATGTATATTACAAACAAACCAAAATGCTTTTTGTAACCTTCAAATCTAATTCAAAAGTTGTGTTTAACTATCAAAAATACCCTTTCATTACCCCTTGCCTATGATGGGACTTCTTGAGAGTATGTAAACCATACTGTTTTTTAGGCATGAACAGGCAATAGTGTACATTATTCAGCCGACTGTTTAAAACTGAAGGTTTACTTTCTAAGCAGCAATTAAAAACAAAATTCTTGGATTAGTTAGAATACTGATATCAAAATACACATTTAAATAATTTACTCTACGAGAAAATAATTCATGTTTATAGCCTCCTAGAGAAAATAGACAGTTCCTCTATTAGACAGACCCTCAGCTTTTCCAGTTCCAAGGGATACAGAGGTCTCCATCTTGCAACACTGAATAAAAGTGTGAAATGCAGAGGTGCATGCCTTGCAGGTATGGGAGCGATTCTTCCAGCAGTCGCTGACAACAGTCTATCATCTGTGCATGGGAAATACTTGGTTCCTTATACAGGTGTTTCAGAGAAAATTTTTCAGTGGAAGCACTGATAAGCTCTTTTTCCATCACTGTCAACCTAGTATATTTTAAAAAGTTAGAAAGTTAGTGCTAAATATGGGGAACCAAATACAATGATAAAATAGTGCTTTGTCTTTATTTATTTATTTGAAAGACAAATATTTATATACAGTTTACATTTTTCAAGTGCAGGTATAATGTGACAGTGTCCACATTTAAAAACTAATGTTTTTGTGTGCAAATATGCAAACGATTATGCCAAGTTACATAGTTGGAGGTCAAGGGGGCCAAATTTTAAAAACATTACTCACTTATCTGAAGTGATTTTGTCGTTAAAAAATTAATAAAAAGGTCACGAGACTTCATTTTCAAGGCATCTTAGAGATAAAAAAGGTTTTTAATAGCTCAAAAATGAACAGTCAGCTCAATCATTAAGAAACTAAGCTTGAAAGTGTAAAAATAATTTCAACTTGTACCCACCTATCAAAGTCAATATTCAGTATTCTGCAATTGACCTAAAACACTGGTTAACGTCAAGAGTAATATAGCTACCTGCTCTATTTTAGGTATCAGTAATACAGTTAAACTGTTGAAAAAGAAATACAGAATCCTTAACTAAGGACTTAGCAAATAAAATTATTTTTCAGTTCTTCTTAAACAAAAGGGAGTAAGAACAGACCAATTGACAAATTCAGCTTCTTTAAAAGAAAAAGCTAGTATATATGTATATTTGAGAATTGTAGTTTCAAAAAGCTGTCAAGTAATGCAAACCTGACAGAGTTGGTACAGATTAAAGACAGACACACTGAGCTATTCTAAATCGTGTACTGTTAAAACACTGTGTATATTATCTCATATGGAATATGTAAGTTCCCTTTTATTTAGTACAATCCTAAAGAAATGCAAAGAAACAGCCCACAAAATCAAAAAACAGAAACCTTTTTTAATTTTAAAGCAAGTTTCACATGTACTGTGCTTAAGATCCAGATCATTAACAGGATACATGTACAGATTTTTGATGTATCTACATCATGGAGACTATACTAAAGTTGTTACCATAGCTATTAGGTATGTAGATAACATTTTAAAAAGTGCTCATATAAACTATAAAAATTATATCAGTTAACCATTTATTGTTAACATGACAGGAGTCAGGGGCTAGGGCTGCTGTACAGCCATAATTTGTTTTAAATGTTAACTGAAATATAGACCGGTAAGTCTAACTTCAGTACCGGGCAAATTAGTCGAAACAATAGTAAAGAATAAAATTGTGAAGCATGTAGAAGAACATAATTTGTTGGACAAAAGTCAACATGGTTTCTGTAAAGGGAAATCCTGTCTTACTAATCTATTAGAGTTCTTTGAAGGGGTTAACAAACATGCGGACAAGGGGGATCCAGTAGATATAGTATACTTGGATTTTCAGAAAGCCTTTGACAAGGTCCCTCACCAAAGGCTCTTGTGTAAATTACATGGCCATGGGATAAGAGGGAAGGTCCTTTCTTGGATTGAGAACTGGTTAAAAGACAGGAAACAAAGGGTAGGAATAAATGGTAAATTTTCAGATTGGAGAGGGGTAACTAGTGGTGTACCCCAAGGGTCAGTCCTGGGACCAATCCTTTTCAACTTATTCATAAATGATCTGGAGAAAGGGGTAAGCAGTGAGGTAGTAAAGTTTGCAGATGATACCAAACTGTTTAGGATAGTCAAGACAGAAGCAGACTGTGAGGGACTCCAAGAAGATCTCACCAAACTGAGTGATTGGGCAACAAAATGGCAAATGAAATTTAATGTGGATAAGTGTAAAGTAATGCACATCGGGAAAAATAACCCCAACTATACGTACAGTATGATGGGGGCTAATTTGGCTACGACAAATCAGGAAAGAGATCTTGGAGTTATCGTGGACAGTTCTCTGAAAACTTCCACACAGAGTGCAGCGGCGGTCAAAAAGGCAAATAGGATGCTAGGAATTATTAGGAAAGGGATAGAAAATAAGACCCAGAATATCTTACTGCCCCTGTATAAAACTATGGTACGCCCACATCTTGAATACTGTGTACAGATGTGGTCTCCTCACCTCAAAAAAGATATTTTGGCCTTGGAAAGGGTTCAGAAAAGGGCAACTAAAATGATTAGGGGTTTGGAACGGGTCCCATATGAGGAGAGGCTAAAGAGACTGGGACTTTTCAGTTTAGAAAAGAGGAGACTGAGGGGGGATATGATAGAGGTATATAAAATCATGAGTGGTGTGGAGAGGGCGGATAAAGTTATTTATTAGTTCCCATAATAGAAGAACTAGAGGACACCAAATGAAATTAATGGGTAGCAGGTTTAACAGCGTGTAGTCAACCTGTGGAACTCCTTGCCAGAGGAGGCTATGAAGGCTAGGACTATAACAGAGTTTAAAGAGAAGCTAGGTAATTTCATGGAGGTAAAGGTCCATAAAAGGCTATTAGCCTGGGGATAGAAATAGTGTTCCTGGCCTCTGTTTGTCAGAGGCTGGAGAAGGATGGCAAGAGACAAATTGCTTGATCATTGTCTTCGGTCCACCCTCTTTGGGGCACCTGGTGCTGGCCACTGTCGGCAGACAGGCTACTGGGCTAGATGGACCTTTGGTCTGACCCAGTACGGCCGTTCTTATGTTCTTATTAATGGTAAGACTCCTGCTCATCAGTTAGCCACTTAATATTTTACACCTCTAGTAGCTTTGCCAGCATGATCCTATATAATGCAGGCACAGCCTACACCAAAAGAAGGCATTTTTCTAATACCATAGGAACACTACCTTTCCAAATGATAGTACAGGTTGATCTCTTCAATAAAGAATATTAAATTGTGGAAATTATTGAGTCTCTGCATACTTGAAGATCATTGTAAAATCATCAAAAGAAAGTTTCATTATACATCTTATGAACAAAAAATGTCTTTCATTTTTCAATTAAATATAGGTATGTAAACTGATAAGGAAGTAGTCAGCTGATCACCAGTTCATAACAAATGACAGGTGAGGTAATATCTTTTATTGGACGGACTAACTATTGTTGGTGAGAGACAAGCTCTTAAATTAGGTAAAACAACAAATAGAAAACAATGGTGGGAAAGGCATGACCTATTTTGTAAGGAAAAGTTCACTCTTAATATGCCTCAAAGTTGTAAAAGAAATTATTTTTTAATATATGAAGTAGAAGAGGAGTACAAGAGCTGGAGTACAAACTTTTTGAAAATACTTACTCTTCCTTTCTTTTCTGATTCTCCCTTGCTTGCTTTGCTTTGGTAATTATAAACCACTGAAGGGCTGATGGATCACACACTGTTGGGATGTTAAAATGCCCAAGTTCATGCAAGCTTGGAGCGTACCTATCACTGTAACGGAACATGATGCAAGTCAAAAAAGAAGCATCTTATCACTTCTTGTACTCAAATATTCATTGTGGATAACACAGATGTGGAATTAAGGATAAGAAAATCCTACATGATCTACAAATTCAAAATAATTCTTTAGTAAAGATTGCATACAGACTGACATGCATACAGACGGTTATATTAGGTGTTCTATTATTAAAAAAAATTTCAGCAGTGTGGATCAACAGAAGCAACTAAAAAATAGTTTCTTGCTACAGACAAACTATTGACTCACAAAACTCACTTTTTTAGATAACTTCTCAGAGATGTAAACAAAGATTTAGATTTCAGAGGACTTTGTCCATTAGATTAGCAATTTTAAGATATGTTAAAATTTTATGTTTAGCAGTCTTAACGCAACCCTTACAAAACAACTGCAACTGCATTTCTTGATTCCTTTGCTCAGCCTATCTGATGAGCTTACTAATGCAGTATGTGGATGAAAAGCTGGTTCTGAAATGAATTCAAGTCAGGTGCTCTTTTAAGCAAAAGCACATTGGACTTTGTTTATGATAAATACACATGCCATGAGCAGGGATTTCTACTCTCATTTAACAGCAATGGCTTATTAAATGCACATATTTATGTCTCTGTGTAACTGCTGTTCATATGCTTGACAGATTGAACAACATATTCAATGCTATAGACTATGCAGATGAGTTTATAAAGACAAAATGCTGCCTTTCTGGATGTGCATGATTTCCGTTTAGCTAACCTCTCTTCAGCTGAAGAGAAACAGTTTGACACAGTTACATCTCATATCGATTCCATAACTATAAAGAGGATTGATAGTGCCCAGTAAGTCATAGTGTGCGCATACTGTTTACAGTTGTGCAGTATTAATTAACTTGATGCAGGCAGTTAACATTTCCTAAAGCCACATTAAAAATGTAAAATGTATTACATGCAACAGGGGATGTGAAAATGCCAAAGAACAATACTACAGCAAATGAGATTTTGTAATATTACTAAAAGCAATACATAATCAACATAACAGCGTAAAAGGATCAAAAAGTTATATAAAAGCAGCTACCCTGCAGACACTTACCTTTCTAGAATCATTTGCAAGCCACGCAGACTACGAGGGTGAAAAGACAGTCTACTGTTACGCAATCTATTATAGAAAGAATCAAGATTGGTATAATACTCTTCAAGAGTTAACAGTGGTTGCAGCTCTTCAATGTACGTCATTTGTATGCCTCCTAGAAGATGACTTATATGGTCCTCCAAAAGTAGCACTTTCTTTTGAAGTTTATAATAGCTAGGCAATCTCTCAAAAATCTGCACAAACAAAAATACATTTCCTCTATTACACACAACACATCATAAAAATCTCTCCAAGAAATTAAGCACTGATTCACGATGAAAGAAATGCTAAAGAAAATGAAGTATCTAACAATACAAACAGGTAACATTTAAAATTCCAATTGAAAGTTGTATGCACTGTGAACACAAACATGATTGCCAGGGTTGGGTGAACAGAAAAAACGGTTACTTACTTAGTAACAGTTGTTCTTCAAGATGCGTTGCTCATGTCCATTCCACTTAAGTGTGTGCGCATCGTGTGCATGGATTGCTGGAGAGTTTTCCCTTAGCGGTACCCGTTGGGCCAGACGGAAAGCCCCCTGGAGTGGCATTGCTATATTGGTGCATATATATCTCCGCTGGCCCTCCACCCTCTCAGTTCCTTCTTGCCGGAACACTCCGTTGCAGAGGAGGTGGTTGGGATATGGAATGGACATGAGCAACATATCTCAAAAACCAACAGTTACGAAGTAAGTAACTGGTTTTTCTTCTTCGAGTGCTTGCTCATGTCCTTTCCACTTGGGAGGCTAACTCTGGCATCACCTATGGGGTCGGAGTGTACCTAGAGATGGACTGTCGACCAGCCCTACCTACAGCAGCATCCTCTCTGGCGTGCTGCGTGATGGTATATTGATCCGCAAAACTGTGCTCTGAGGACCAAGTAGCAGCCCTGCAAATCTCCATGATGGGCACCTGGGCTGCAAAAGGCTTGCGCTCTCATGCAGTACGCCCTAATGGGCGTGTCTGGAACCTGCGCTAGCTCGTAGCATGCCTTGATGCAATCTGAGATCCAGGATGAAATATGCTGAGCTGACACTGACTGACCCTTCATCCTATCTGCTAACGCTATAAAAAAAATTCGGGGGACTTGCAGAAGGGCTTGGTCCTCTCTAAATAAAAAGCTAACGCACGCCTCACATCAAGTGTGGGTAAAGCCTGTTCCGTTCCGGAGCTATGGGGCTTAGGGTATAAAACAGGGAGAAAAATATCCTGGTGAACATGGACGTAAGACACCACCTTTGGCAAAAAAGCTGGGCGGGGGACGTAGCCTGACCTATCCCTAAAAAGGACTGTATATGAGGGGTCCACTAGTAGGACCCTGAGTTCCGATACTCGCCTGGCAGAGGAAATGACCACCAGGAAAGACAGAAAGGTGTAGAAGGGAACACGTGGCCAACGGCTCAAAGGGAGGACCCACGAAAGCACCAAATTTAGGTCCCAGGAAGGCACTGGGTCCCGCACCTGAGGGTAAACCCTGTCTAAGCCCTTGAGGAATCAATACACCATAGGGCCTGATCAGACGGTCCTTCTCCCTGAGCCAGAGTGGAAAGCTGAAATGGCTGCTAGGTGCACTCGCACGGAGGAGGGAGCCAGGCCCTGGAGTCTGAGCCCAGGAGGTAGTCCAGGATAACTAGGACTGGGGCCTCCGTATGGGAGGACCCCCTTATCACCTGACCAGATCACAAACCTTTTCCACTTTGCTAGGTAAGACGACAGGATGGAGGGCTTCTGGCTTCTTAGGAGGACTGCCTGGACCTGCTTCGAACAGTGCCTCTCAGAGGCCGTTAGCCATGGAGTTTCCATGCCATGAACTGCAAGGAGTGAAGGTTTGGATGCCTGAGCCTGTGAACTCTTGTGAGATTAGGTCCGGACACAGGGGGAGGGCCAGAGGCCGCTCCACTGAAAAGGTGAGGAGGTCCGGGAACCAATGGTGACAAGGCTAGGCCGGGGCTATCAGGATCACTGAGGCCTGGAACTCTCTGACCCGGAGGATTACTCTGGGGATCAGCGGGAAGGTGGGAAAGGCGTACAGCAGCCCTGAGGCCAGGGGACTGTCAGCGCATCTTCCAGAGACCCCGGGCTGTGCCTGAACAGGGAGCAAAACTGGGGACACTTCCTGTTGACACAGGTGGTGAACAGGTCCAGGTGGGGAAACTTCCACCTGCGGAAAATGAAGAGGGTTACGTCCTCCCACAGAGACCATTCGTGCCCCTGGAAGGACCTGCTGAGGTGGTCTCCCAGCTTGTTCTGAACCCCAGGGAGGTAGGTGACCACCAGGTGAATATCGTGGGTTACGCAAAACTCTCAGACTTGGAGAGCCTCCTTGCACAGGGGATAGGAGTGAACCACCACCCTGTCTGTTTATATAAAACATCGTAGCTGTGTTATTGGTCAAAATTGAAATGCACCTATTTCGGAGTTGGGATAGGAACACGCTGCAGGTGAGGCAAATAGCTCTCAACTCCCTGACACTGATGTGGAAAGAGAGATCAGTGGGTCCCCACATACCTTGCGTCCAGAGCTTCCCGAGAGGGGCTCCCCAGTCCGTGACAAACGCGTCTATCACCAGCTGAATGGACGGGGAAGGGTAAGAAATGGTATCCCTTCGTAGACCACTTCCTCGCACAGCCACTAGTTGAGGGATTTCAGCACATCTGTGGGCACTTTTACCACCATGTCCATATGCTGGAAAGCTGGGTTTTGAGTCCAATGCAGCCATAGTTGAAGTGGTCTCATTCTGAGAGCCACATAAGTGCAGGCCGCCATAAACCCCAGCAGCCTCATGCAACAGTGGGCCGTCATGGTGGGGAACAACTGTAGATGCAGAATAGCATCCCTCAGTGTCATGAAGCACCGCAAGGGCAGGGAGGCTCTGCCCGTTGTGTCTAAAAGAGGTCCCGTAAACTCTATCAATTGAATGGGAACCAGGGTAGAATTGGCCTCGTTCAATACAAGACCCATCCTGAGGAATGTCTCTCTTACAAGGGATATATGGCTGATCACTTGGGATGGGGACAAGTCTCATACGAGCCAATCGTCTAGGTACAGGTAAACTTGGACCTGCTGCTTCCTTAGGAAAGCGGCCACCATTGCCATACACTTTGTGAAAACCCTGGGGGCCATGGAAAGGCCAAATGGGAGGGCCATAAACTGATAATGGAAGAAGCGCTTGTGCGCAGGAGCGATGGAAATGTGAAAATAGGTGACTTTGAGATCGAGGGCAGTGTACCAGTCTTGTGTGTCTAGGGAAGGAATGATGGAGGCCAGGGTAACCATTTTGAACTTAGACTTTACTATGAAGGTATTCAGATCCCTCAAATCCAGAATAGGGCAGAAGCCACCCCTGGCCTTTGGGACCAGGAAGTAGCGGGAGTAGAAACCCTTTCCCCTGCGGTCCCACAGGACTTCCTCTACCACCCCCAGGGGGAGGAGTTTCTGAACTTTCACCCTGAGAAGATGCTCGTGAGAGAGGTCCATGAAAAGGGATGGGGAGGGGGAATGGGAGGGCGCGCGGGAGTGGAAAGAGATGAGGTATCCCCTTCTCACCATGTCTAAGACCCAACAGTCCATTGTGATGAGTGACCAGGCATGATAGAACGGGAAAAGGCAATTGGTAAATGGCATCCAGTCTGAGACTGGTGCGCTGTCCCTGCTCTCACCTTCAGAGATTAGGCCACGGGCCCTGGGGCTTGCTGGAGGGGCTCACCCCCTGGTCGGAGGAGGAACGGGAGAGACATCCTTCGTTCCTATTATTATTGTTGCGGCCTCTATGCCTAGGGAAGTCTGACCTGTTCCCCTGCTGGAAAGGGCGAGGCGGGGCCCTAGGGAGGGAGCGTCTTTGTGGGTTGGGGGTGTGGATGTCTAGGGACCTAAAGATTGCCCTAGAATCCTTTAGCCCATGAATGCTGGTGTCAGTTTGCTCTGATAAACTGCCACCCTCGACGGGCAGGTCCTGGATTGCGTTCTGCACTTCCGGAGGAATGCCAGACACCTGTAACCATGTGTCCCTATGCAGGACCAGGCCCTTTGCCATAGTATGGGCTGCCGCATCTGCTGAGTTCAGGGCTACCTGAAGTGCAACCCGGGACACTACTTTGTCTTCCTTGGACAAGGTTCTGAACTCCTGCTTTGAGTCTGGGGGCACCGACTCTCTGAACATTTCCATAACTGCCCACGAATTAAAGGTGCACCTACGCAGGAGGATGTGCTGATTAGCGATCCTGAGCAGGAGACTCCCCGAGGCATAGGCCTTGCAACCCAACAGGTCTGAGCACTTGGCTTCCCTGTTCTAAGGGGTAGGGACAGGTTGGCCCTCTCACTCATGGTGGCCTGTACCACTATCAAACTGGATGGCGGATGGGAGAACAGGTGCTCATGGCCCGCCTGAGGGACAAAGTCCCAGTATTCTGCCTTCTTGTCCGTTGGCAGGATAGACACTGGCATCTGCCAGAGGGCCTTCATTATTTTGCCCACTGTTTTATTTAGGGGCAGGGCCACGTGAGACGGAACCTCAGCATTAAGAATGTTAAATGTAGGGTCTGAGTCCTCGGAGATTGGCTCAAGCTGGACCCCGAGGCTCTGGACCAGTCTCCGAAGAAGCTCTTGGTGGGCCTAGGAGTCCATGTCTGGTGCTAACGAAGAAGACAATCCCAGGGCCTCGTCAGGAGAGGACAACGAATACTCCCACACTGTCGAGTCCTCCATCTCATGGGGTGGCTCTGATGCTTTAGAGGGAACAGACAGTTCTGATGGCCCATGAACCCCACCCTTTTCCAACTGGGGCTAAGACCTGCGCTGCTGGGGCACTGGGCAGTGGGATGGCTGAAGGTGGAGTCGGGATCCTGCCATAGAGGGAACACTCCCTTGGGCCTGGTGGTACGCCCAGGGGGACCAGAATGGCCACTGGTCCTGATGCTGCCACTGCAGAGGCCATGTTTGTGAGAGGCCCGAGATACTTTTGGCGCTCATGATGCCAGGAATGAGAACAGCGCAGAGACCTGGAGTGGTGTCGAGATCTAGAACGGCACTGAGACCTAGAGAGATGCCAGCACGGGGATCAGCACCAGGACCAGGATCGGCGCTGGGAACTTGAGTGGTGCCGAGAGCAGGAACAAGAAATAGATACCCTTGATGGTACCAACTCCATGTCAGACTCCAACGAGTAGTCAGACTCTGACCATGGCGGGGCAGAGGCCGGACCTATGGAACGATGTCTCTCCGTGTGCCAAACCATGGAGGTCGGCTTGCCCCAGTGCTGCACCAGCAGAGGGGGCATGAGGTGCTCCAGTGCTGCCAACTGGGCCGCCGGGATGAGCGTGCTTGACGCCAATCTCTCTCTGGACTCCTGAGAGAGTGAAGCCAGTGGTGCCAAGGGTCCTGTTGGTGCTAGCGTTGACATGAGAGCCGGGGAACACAGCACCGCATGGGGCGCTGGTGCCGAGGGCAGTGTGGACCTACTCAGATCTAGTACCAATGATGAGGCCCAGGCCCGAGATGGGTCCCAGTGCTCCAGAGGAGGCAAGGGCGAGTCAGCTGTCAACTCAATCAGCTCCTGCGCCGCCTTGAACGTATCTGGAATGGAGAGCTGTTGGACCTGAACCGGCTCCTCCCCTGCACCAGGGCTTTTGGTTGCACTCGACTGGCTGCTCTCCGGCCCAGGAGCAGCAGACATCACAGCTGGTGTGGGCATGACAGGGTGCCCCGAATGGAGGCGCACCTCGGGCGCATGATGGGGCTGAGACCTGCCCTTCTCCACTCTCATCTTGCGTTGCACCGGTGACTGTGAGCGGTGCCACGCCATAGGGCACCTGAATGCCGATGAGGCCTCCGAGGAACCAGGAGTCTCCCACACCAAAGGTAGTGGGCTGCGGGACTCCAGTGCTGGCGAAGTGCCGACTCCATGAGGAGTATCAAGTGTGATTCCCTCTTGCACTGAGTCCTGGGTTTAAAACTGTGGCATTTAGCTGGGACGTGGGCCTCGCCCATGCACTTTAAGCACGAATCATGCAGGTCACCATAGGGCATAGGCTTCGAACAATCAGCGCAGGGCTTAAAACTGTGACGCCCTGGCATGCCCCTTTGGCTAGGCAGGAACGGGATGCAACAGGTGAGCCCCAACCCGAATAACTTACCTAACTATTTAACAGGGAAAGTAACTTGCATGAGAAACAAAAGGGTTTAACTAGGTGCTAACTACTTAGAACGCTTCGAATACTGCTAAGATCATGCTTGCAGGCAAGCGAGAAGGGAGCTCCAACGACAGTCATGGATGGTAAGAAGGAACTGAAGGTGTGGAGGGCCAGCAGGGATATATCTGCACCGATATAGCGGCGCCACTCCAGGGGACTCCCTGGCTGGCCCAACGCGTAGCGCTAAGGAAAAACGCTCCAGCAATCTGTGCATGCAGCGTGCACACACCTAAGTGGATTGGACATGAGCAAGCACTCAAAGATGATGACAATGTTTTGAGGAGTGGGGGGGAAAAGAGGAATGGTTATACAGAATCTCTATGAGTTATGCTTTTTTAATGGATTTTATCCTATGAAATAGCATTCATGAGCAGTTATTGACATGAGGGCTCATACACAGTTGCTGACAGATTAAAAATGTTCTTTCTTGCATTGCATTTCTAGCCCATGTGCATGGTCTACAGTTAGGGCTCTACTAAATTCAGAATAATGAAAAACATATCACGGACTGTGAAATGTGGTGTCTAACCATGAACTCTGGTCTTTTATTTTTACTCTATGCTATACAGTTTTCACAGAGGAAACCAGTGTTCTGACCTAACAGGGAGTTGTGGTTTTTTTTTTTCAAAATAATTTTAGGAGGACTATGGTATTTCCACCCTTACTTCTGTGCTGCCTTCATAGCTGGGAGGCTGGAGAATGATAGCTGGCAAGTGGTGGCTGAGCGCCCAGCTCTGAAGGCAGTTTCCCACCAGCAGCAGTGTAGAAGGTGGTAATACCATACCATGTCCAGGACCATTCCTAGAGGAGTGTGGGGCCCGGGACAAATAAGCCTGTATGGGCCCCCATTATTTTTTATACAGTAAAAATCTGGTTACGGTGAACTTCAAGGGCAGGTTAAATATTAATAGGGGTTGCTGTTGCTACTGCCAGAGACTGAGCCTGAGCCCCAAGATTCTGAACAAGAAAAAGAAATACAACATGCACCTCCCATTGTTGAGTGCAGGCCCAATCCTGGCAGTCTGTGTCAAGCCTCCCTCCACGAACTTCTTGGGCTGGCCTATTGTGCTCCCCCCCACAGCCCTAGCCTAGTACCCCCCTGCACCTTAACCCCTACCTGGGTCCAGCCTAGTGCCCCTGCATGACATGTATACTGAAATACGTGTCCCCGAGTGGTCACCCGATTTTCCACATCAAGGGACGGTTCTCACCATGCCACCCTTAATTCTGAATGGCTACATTCAAAGTTGGGTAGCTGGAGAGCAGAGGCTGACTGAGGCAGAAGTGCAGAAGAAAGGGTGGCAATGCCACACCATGCCATCATTACTTGTGTGCTGCGGCTGCTGGGCTCCTGGCCAGCAACCACTGTTCTCCAGCAGCAGCACAAGTAGTAAGGACAGCAGTACTGCAACTTTCACTATAATAACCTTGCAACCACTCCCCCAAGAACTTCTTTTTGGGTCAGGACACCTTCAATTATAACAGATTTGAACAGATGAAATCATTAAATTGATTATTTTAAAAATCCTATGACCATGAAATTGACTAAAATGGACTATGAACTTGATAGGATCCTGTACAGTAGCAGTAATAACAGTAAGATGTATATTTGTGGATGAAGGAATAGAGGGCATGTACTGTTAGGCAGCTAAACTTATTTCCTCGTTTGTGTGTGTTGTATGTCAAGCACACTGTATTTGTAGCAACCTTACCTATTTCATAACTTTTGTGTACTGATATATAAAAAACCCTTATGATTGCTTGTCTTGTTTTAATACACATTACCATGATATATGAAACGAGATGACTAGTATGACATTGCCTATGAATTATCTATTGTATATGTACTATTTTATCTATAGTACCTTATATGCACTGAAATTATTCAAGTATGCATGTGCACATAAATGAGAAAGAAAAAGTTTTAGCTGTAGATATACTGATACCCACATACACTAGAACTGCATACAAGCCTCAGAACACCCTGTTTAGTGTGATTTGAAGGATCTCTCTTTTCCTTGTGTGCAAAAAATCTGAACTATCAGTTTGCCTGAATAGGGAATAGTTTCAAAAGAAAAGACAATGACAAACAACCAGTGGTACTAAAGCGGAAATATAACCTTCTCTACATACAGATTTGCTCTGATTTAAATCAAGGGGTGTTTTTAAACCAGTTTAGTTAAACCAATGCAAGACTGGGTGTACTTACTCTTATTCTGATTTAAGATTGGTTTGACAATATAAAAAAGATTTAGTTTGATGTTTGGCTGCAGAAAAGACCTTCCAAACAGCACATGCTCATCAGATAAGAAAGAAAGCAGATCTTGGACAGTTAGTTTAGCAATATTCATCAATGTTGCATTATTTCCATCATGAAGAAGTTAAAGTAAAGGCTACAATTATAATGATAATTTGCAGCAGGAGGTCCAATCCAATTATACAGGTAATGTAGCTGTTAGGGACAGGGCGGGATTAAGGGGGGGGGTCAGCCAGGCAGCTGCCCGAGGTGCCAACCTATGGGGGGCACCTGATGGCAGCTGTAAGGGGCGCCGTGCACCCAGCCGTGCGGCGCCCCTTACAGCTGCCATTAGGCGCTGTGCAGCGCCCCTTAGAGCTGTAAGGTGTGCAGCGTGCCAGGGGCTGGAGGTGCGCGCATGCGCTGTGTGTCCGGGGGTGGAGCCGCGCATGTGTCGCGTGCTCGTTGCCTGGGGCGTAAGAATGGCTCGAGCCGGCCCTGGTTAGGGATGTAAGAGAGTAGCTGACTGACTGATAAGCCTAGGCTTACTGGTTAGTCAAGTTGACTACTCTCATCCCCTTCTCTGTAAATTGCTAAATTTAAATTAATAGGAACTATGAAATATATGAAAATCATCTTCATTCTTTCAGTCTAAAGTAGCTAGTTAACAAAAAAGCTGAAGTGTTGGGTACAGAAAGAGTAATTTAGTAGATGCTGCAAAAAGACTTTGTGATCAACACAGCTTTCACTGAAATAAATAGCAAATCTCCCATTGAGTTCTCAATAGTAATTGCTAAATTTAAATTAATAGGAACTATGAAATATATGAAAATCATCTTCATTCTTTCAGTCTAAAGTAGCTAGTTAACAAAAAAGCTGAAGTGTTGGGTACAGAAAGAGTAATTTAGTAGATGCTGCAAAAAGACTTTGTGATCAACACAGCTTTCACTGAAATAAATAGCAAATCTCCCATTGAGTTCTCAATAGTCGTATTTTTTGGTTTCTTTGGTTAGTTGAGATAATGAATGCGGGATCAAAAAAAAGCCAATTTTGTTTACCCTTACTTTGAGACAAGGAGTTGATTTACTAGCAGAAATGGCAAAACACACATAATAAAGACTTTGGTTATCATCATTATCTATTGCAAAGGATTTATTTTAGAATGCAAGGGTCATGTTATGCTACAGTACCTACATGCACTGCATTAAGTTACTTACTAGTCTCCTGTAGCAATTAATGCTTTGATTAGAAATAAATCATTTGCTTTAAAAATAAATCATTTATACAAGGCTCCATTACCTAAATTAAGAAAAAATATTAACTATCCTTTATCTGAAATTCTCTTACTTTGATCCAGTGGTGGTGAACATCCATTGTTCCTAGCATGACATGGCCTGTGGCACTCATACCTGAATAGTCCGTGAATACTACCGTGTGTCCTAATAATGAAACACAATTTGTAGTCACTTTCCACAACTATGTAAGCCTTAACTATACCACTGCATTTCTCCAACAGTAATTTTTCGCAGCACAGACAAAAGCTTTTGTGAGTTAAATCAATTGAAGACTCATTCTGAAAGCTTAAATACAAGGATTTTTCTACACAAACTTGATCTAGTGTTTTCCATCCTTCTCCCTGTAGTTTGACTACTTAAGTCTAATCTTATAGAGAACTATTTTTGGACAAGTATCAATATTTGGACTATAACATCTTTAGATAAGTCAAAGAACAACGTATGCACTAAAGAAACAATTAGTTCAATATTATTTGTATTAAATAAAGTAATTTTAAGCTGAATATGGTAAATGTTGCCCAAAACCCCACTGTAACCCTACCCAGGGGCTTCCAGGGTTGTGAGGCTTTTCTCTACCACTTGCCCTTAAAGTAAAGTTTGTGTCTGCCTCAGCAACCTCAGTCACTGGCAATATAAGCACTCCCCCCCACTCCTTGAGGCTTTGAGCAATCTGAGCATTATCTTGGGAGTGTTCAGATCCCAGTTTACCAGTTGCACCTCTGATCACCCATTTAATAACTCAGTGTTTAAGTTTGTTTATAGTGAAATCAAATACAAGTTTATTTAACAAAGCAGAGAGAGATTGAAATAAATAAATATGGTAAACCAATGGTGACATATTAAATAAAATCATAACATGAAATCTAGTAGAGATGTTAGATAGAGCAGAATTGAATAGTCGTGTAACCAAATTAAATTTTAGCAGTTACATGACTATTCAATAGCAGCCAGTGCGCTCCCAGCGCCACTCCCAGGGAGCTCTTGTCACTCCACACTGCTGCCTCTGTATCAGACGCAGCAGCACAAGTTGGCTGGCGGGAGCCAATCTGCGAGGGGAACCAGTTTAAACAAAACAAAAAAAAAAACCAAAAAAACAGTGGCAGCAGCTTCTGTCCGCAGGGGGTCCGAGCTGCCCATGGACAGAGGCTGCTCCATGCCAGAGCAGTCCCTGTCAATGGGGAGCGTGGACGCCCCGTGGACAGGGGCTGCTGCCGTGGGGCAGCCTCTGTCCACGGCAGGCCCAAGTTCACTGTGGACAGAAGCTGCTCTATGGGACTGTAGTGGGTTGGAGTGGCCACCCACTGACCCTGAGGGGGAAACGCCCCTCCCTGAGCTGTGGCAGTCTCCCCTCCCGCTCTTGACGACCACAGGCAAGGTGCCTGAATCCCTCTTGAACAAGGAGCTAAATTATTTACCTGTGAATACCTGCAGTGAAGTGGTTTGCTTGTTTTCTACAGCCCCACCCTGGCACCAGGACTGGGCTTATAAACTGCTGCCCTGTCCTGTATCAGGACAGGCTATAAACTCTGTAACTGCTGTGGCCTTCCCCTATGTAAGGCCAGGGCTACAAACTGCATTGTTACTGCAGCCCTGCCCTGCTCTAAGGCTGGGTTATAAACTACTGGGTTACTGCAGTCCCACCCTGCACTAGGACTGGGGCTACAAACTGCTTGAAAACTGCGAGGCCTGCCCTGCACCAGGGCTCGACCATAAATTGCTTGATTGCTGCAGCCCTGCCCTGCACTAGGGCCAGGCCAGAGACTGCTTGGTTATGGCCGCCTGCCCTGCACTTGGGCTGGTTTATAAATTGCTAGTGAGGTAGCTCTGCTCTGAATCGGGGCTCAAACTGGAACTGCGTGTAGTGGGTTGGTGTGGCCACCCACTGACCCCAAGGGGGACACCCCACTGGGCTACAGGGATGCAGAGCAGCCTCTGTCTGCAGGGAGCTCGGACCCTGTCATGGCAGCCTCCCCTGTGGGGCGAGGGGAAGGACACACAGGCATCTCCTGTCTTCCGCCTCTGCCTCTGTAGGAGGCATCAAAGGAGGGATAGACGGGTCTGCAGAGCTGGCTTTTGTGTGCATCAGCTCCCACCTGCCCCCCTCACCCTCTGCGCTGCTGCCTTTCTATCAGAGGCAGCAGCGCAGGGGATAGGTAAATTCTGTGCTCATGAGGAGCTGGGTGCTCCCCACATTAACTGACTCTTGCTTCCCCTTTCCTTGCTGCCTATGATATAGAGGCATTGCGGGGAGGAGCTTATTAGTTAATTGTGTAGTCGTCTACACATTGGCATCCCTACAATCTAGCTGGACTAAATGGACAGCCTACTGTCATATCTAGTAGAGTTTTGCTCATCCCAAGCTAGGCGTTCTGTGAATCTTTTTTCATGAGAGACACATGCTGTCAGTTCGCATCCTAGATGAAGGCTTTAGTGTGTCTCTGTTCTCCAAAATATACCAGACAAATCCTTTGCCTTTATGATAAAGAGAACACTCCCTTCTGTTAGTTTCCCCCTGCAGATTTTTTCTATTGTAGATTTTCCAGTCACTCAATTTGCACCTGGCTCAGTATGCGAACAGGCATACAGCCTGAGGCATACAATACACAAATGGCCAAAAAGGGAGACAAGTGTCAGTTACCTCCTTCCTGAAAGATACATCACCTCCTGGTGATCTACCTTAACACCAAAACCTTAAAAGCATAATTTTCCAATACCGGTATCTAATTTCTTAAATATTACCTGTACATACATTTCACGATGGATTATGACAAGCAGTGGACAACGCACTCATGGTAGAGACCTCACATGCCACTCTTTGGTGAACTTCCTTGCAGATATATGTGACCCAAGGTATTCCTATACGGTCCCTGTGCTGTTTGACAGCCTACTCTCCCATACATTGCGCCTGCTGAAAGGGGAGGGAGGGCAAAAGGGGCAATTGCCCCAGGGCCTGGCAATTCAAAGGGGCCTGGGGCTCCAGCTGCCACTGCAGTAGCAGCAGCAGTGTCCAGAGCCCTGGGCCTTTTAAATCTCCTGGACCAGAGTGCCAGGCTGCATGCTCCAGGCAGCACTAAGGACTGGGGGAAGGGGCGGTCGCTGTGCACTCTAGGCAGCACTGAGGGTTGGCTCAGCAGTGCCTCTTCAGGAAGCATGGAGCTGCTCCCCCCATCCACCTTGCAAGGGCCTGCAGAGGCCAAGCACGCAAGTGTTTAGCCTGGCAAGACTTATGTTACTTGGGAGAGTGTTTTTTTCCACCCACACTCCTGAGTGACAAAAGTATTAGTGCAGACATGATTTTCATCTTCCATGAGAAAGACACAGTTGAAAGGAACATTCTTAGGGAATCATCTAAAAAACAGGAATAAAAGGAAGTAAAAGTATTCTCATAATGACCTTTAGCTACATGTATGACAGTAATGATTCCTGGGGGTGGGAGAAAAGGCTGAGACTGTGGATACAGTTAACCATTCAACTATTCACATAGGCAGAGGCCACATTTTCAGGGTCCAAGTAACAATTATATACACTCTCGTATAATCAGCATATTGATATTTCCATTGATAAACATTACCTTTCCAAAGTTCTTTACAAGATTAAATGTGGGACAATCTTGCCTATCTTTTGATTAAATAAGTGAGTTCTTAAGTTAAAGAATAATTATCCAAACCCAAGAACCTTGAGAGAGACTAAACATGAAGCCCCGGGTGCTGGCCAACAGCTATTACCTCAGATCAAGTTGCTGTATCAGAGAAGTCACATGGTAACCTTAAAGCGTTCAGAGATGCTCAATCCTTCCTGAACAGGAGATTTGATTTCAGAATGTAGGCCTTTTGGAAAATGATCTACAAGAGAAGATAACCTGATCCAAGTAAAGAATGTCCTTACAAGCCCTACTGCCCTGGTAAGTGGGTATTCTGAGAATTGGTGGTTCATTTTTTTTGTCTCCTTGTTTCCAAGGAAAGATTATAATCACTGCATTGACTCACTCTTTTCCACACCCTATAAAGGAACCCAGTATTTGGTTTTGGTAGAAGGATTTTTGTCCTCCTGGGGCACTTGTTAGAATGGATCATTCTTCTTGGATACTGGTGGCATGGATGAAACCGAGAGCCTCAAATCTCACGTAGTTCCAAAAGACCCTCACTGTCAGAAAAAGCTACCTTAGAAATCTTTTGTCTGGACGGTAACTATTTGTAGATTTCTCTTCCATAATGTGAACAAGCAAATGTAGTGTTTTCACCTGTCTAGCCAATAAACCTTAAATACCTTTTATTCATCAAGAGATAAAAACAGAAGCTGATTCTAGTATTATCTAGGTCAGGAGAGCTAGCAATGGAGGACGGATCTATCAATCTTTTATAAAAATATCTTCCTAATGATTCACCCATTTCTAATCCAAAGGATCCTCTTGAAGAGCAGTCATTGTGAGGTGATCTGGGGCACTTTCTTGACAATACATCTTGATTCCTACATGTATATTTTGCTGAAGAGATGCAAAGGGATGGGGCATTCGGCCCAGATTCATATGTGCCATAAGAATAAGGGGACTGTGTATAGGAATCCCATAGGTTCTAATGTGTCTGAATCCTCATACCAAAATATTTCTCAATATCTGGAAGCATGGAGCTGACTTGTGTGAACTTTAAAAATCCTGGGTGTTGAAGCAAGGTTTAACACTTATTCTACAAATCTGTATGCTAATAAAAAAATCAGATATACTGCTTCTATGGCTGCTTATTTACAAGGAGTGTACTGTCAAGCATTCAAATTCTCAAACCTCAATTAAGGTATTCATTAAGCATTTGTGTTTAATATGGCTAATCTGAATGTCAACTTTATAATGTAACAGTAACAAGAAATGTTAAGAATCCTATTTATAATTACGTTATGCTATCTCTGATGTGTTGTGACTATTTTTCACTTGTCATTTATATTAAAAATAAATATCTATATATCACTATCTGTTCATATTACTGTAAGACAGTAGTCTCCAACCTTTTTAATCACAAGATCACTTTTTCAAAGTAAGTGCAACGTAAGAACTACCTCAAACCCAAATACTGTTGCCTTACTTCCTTTCCGCCCCTTCGAGGCCCTGCCCTTGCTCCACCTCTTCTCTAAGGCCTCACCCTGCTCACTCCATCCCCCTTCCTCTTCCATCCTCAGTCACTTTAACTGGGCTGGGGCAGGGGACTGGGTGCAGGCTCTGGTCTTGAGCCAAGGGGTTTGGCGTGTGGGTGGACTCTGGGTTTAGCCCAGAGTGGGGGTATTGGGGTTCAGGAGGAGTTTCAGGGTACAAGCTCTGGGAAGGAGTTTGGGTGCAGGAGGACTCACGTCTGGGGCAGGAGGCTGGGTGCAGGAGGGAGTTCAGGAAGCAGGCTCTGGATGGGTATGGTTTAACTGAGATGGCTTCCGGGTGGTGGAGCAGTGGGGTTAAGGCAGGCTTACTCCTGCCCTGGCCCTGCGTCACTCCTGAAAGCAGCTGGCATATACAGCTGTGGCTCCATGGCACCATGTGCTGCCCCTCATCTGCAGGCACTGAGCCAACAGCTTCTACTGGCCACGGTTTCCCATTAGTGACCAATGGGAACTGCAGGAGTGGTGTCTGCAGGCAAGGACAGCATGATATATATGTAACTCAGGCAAAATGTTCTACGTTTTCATGAGGAGCATTGTAAGATTCATACTTATCCTTACATGATTATTATACCATGACACACAAAAGAAAAAATAGGAAATATACCTTTAACATTTCGTAGTGGTTCTGGGCTCTGCTGAGCTAACCGACATAGACTGTGTAGCTGGCTACAACGATGGGCAATACCCCAGCTTCTTTGCCATCTAAAGAAAAATATACTTCAGAATATTTCAAAGGATTATTTAAAAAAAAAAAAAAAAGAGTGCTCAAAGGGTGCTAAAACTTTACAAAATAGCAGTAATTCACAGCAACAAAATTCACAGTCACCGAAAAGTAGTAAATAGCAAATGACCCTACTGGGACTGTGTATAAAGTGGTCTGAGTCATACAATACTCCCCTGAGGCCCAGAGGAAGCTGGCATGTATGAGTATGTCCACTGACTTTAGTTGGGTTACTCACACTGCATAAAATTAAGTAGGCTAACTAGTAACTAGCCCTTACTTAGTTATAAAGGTGTTCCACAGTAAAAGCACTGGGGAGGGGGAAAAGATTCCTTCCCCCTTGAATCCCTGAGAGTTTAGCCCAGTATTTAGATCATAAACTGGATGGGTTGATTTGGCTTGTTATTACGGGGAACTACTGTACTTGAACTGATAGTATTATGTGCATGTACCGTAAGTAAGGAAGAAAAACGTCTCTACAAAATTTCTTGTATCATATCTTGCACAAAATAGTGTCTTCAGTTTTTCTGAATTTCCAGCCAAAATAAATTATCCATTCTTGGCTGGATTCATACAGATGTCTATGATTTACAATATTTAATTAAGAGACATTAAATACATATTGAAATAAAAACTCCATCTAGATTCTAATAATCTGTAGGGCTGTGTCTAGACTCAGGGTTTTTTTCGGGAAAAGTAGCCTTTTTCCGAAAAAACTTCACCTGCGTCTAGACTGCAGCCGCGTTCTTTCGAAATTAAATCGAAAGAACGCGGCTTTTCTTTCGACGGCGGTAAACCTCATTTCACGAGGAAGAACGCCTTCTTTCGAAAGTGCTTCTTTCGAAAGAAGGCGTTCTTGAATGTAAATAGGGCTTCTTCGAAAGAGAGCATCCAGACTCACTGGGTGCTTTCTTTCGAAAAAGCGGCTTGCTCTTTTGAAAGTTCCGCGTGCAGTCTAGACGCTCTCTTTCGAAAGAGGCTTGCAGTCTAGACATAGCCTAGGTGAGAATGCAGGCAGAAGCCCTGCAGCAGAGCAGGGGGTTATCCTGTTTATTGCATCCAATGTAGCATGTATGATTAGCTTCCCTATGGACAGGTAGTATGTGTGTGCCCTCAGAGTTAGTGTACAGACTTTGAAGGCCAAGATAGCTGAATTGGAGGAGCTAAGGGAGGTACAGAGGCACACTGATGAGGCTTTCTGGGACACTGTAGAACTGTTCCACCTCTGGTCATACAGACCCTGTGCTGTTGAAGAGGGTGAAAGGCTCAGGGAAGGAGAACATTCAACTGGAGCAGAGGGAAATGATCCCATAGTTGGGACCTCTTTCCAGATGATGTGGTATCCTCTCGCACAGAGGATACCTCTCTGGGGGAGGGATCTCCAGTCATTAGGAAAAGACAGGTGTCAGTAATGGAGGACTTGAACTTTAGAAACAGACAGCTAGGTTTGCAATGACTGGGATAACTGTATGGTGACTTGCCTGCCTGGTGTGAAGGTTGTGGATCTCTTGAGACATCTAGATCGACTTATGTGTAGTGCTGGGGGAAGCCAATGGTTGTGGTACATGTAGGGAAGGATAGGGGAGATTTAGGCTGCAAGGAAAGAGACTGAAATCTAGGACCTCAATGGTAGAGTTTCCTGAAATGCTTCCAGTTCCACACACAGGGCTAGGTAGGCAGGCAGAACTGCAGGGTCTTAATGGGTGGATGAACTAGGGTGGTAGTGTAGACATACCCAGAGAGTCCAGGTTGGTGCCCACAAACTCTATTATTGGAGTGGGAGTTAGAGTTGATTTGTCCGGATTTAGCAGGAGGCCTAAGTCATCAAAGAGTGTGTGGAGTATGTTGATGTGGGCCCTCACCTGAGTCTCTGAGTCCCTCTTCAGGAACCAGTCGTCTAGGTAGGGGAACACCTGGATGCCCCTTTTCCTGAGCGCGGTGGCCACCCGCGCCATGCATTTGGTGAAGACCCGAGGGGCCGTGGAAATACTGAAGGGGAGGGCCTACCATTTTGAATTTTGCTTTGGCGATGAAGGAGTTGAGGGCTCAGATGTCCAGGATGGGATGGAGGCCCCTTTTGGTTTTTGGGACCAGAAAGTAACGGGGGGGGAGGAAGGGAGGGCACACGCTCTACCGCCCCTATTGTAAGGAGATGTTGGACCTCCTGTTGAAACAGAGGCTCGTGAGAAGAGTCCCTGAAAAGGGATGGGGTAGGGGGTTGGGAAGGAGGAGGCGAGCGGAAAGGGGTTATGTAATGCCTTTCCACTATCTCCAGCACCCATCAGTCCGACGTAACAGACTGCCAGGCTTGGCAGAAGTGGGATAAATGGTCTTGGAAAGTTAGTGGGGAGACTGGTAAAAAGGTCCCATCAAAACCCCTGACGAGGGTCCGGGGTTTGTTGGGGGACCCCTGGTTGTTGCCTGGAGCCGGATGCGATCGGCATCTGTTGTTCCCAAATGATTTGAATTTCCCGGGCTTCATTTGCATAAGCCGGGCGGCGCCATTTTTAAATCCCAGCTAGTTCGAACCCCGTGCCGCGTGTAGCCGCGCAGCACAGGGTTCGAACTAGCCGGGATTTAAAAATGGCGCCGCCCGGCTTATGCAAATGAAGCCCGGGATTTGAATTTCCCGGGCTTCATTTGCATAAGCCGGGCGGCGCCATTTTTAAATCCCAGCTAGTTCGAACCCCGTGCCGCGCGGCTACACCCGGCACGGAGTAGCTAGTTCGGATTAGGCTTCCACGAGCAGGACAGCTAGTTCGGATTAGAAGCCTAATCCGAACTAGCTACTCCGTGCCGCGTGTAGCCGCGCAGCACAGGGTTCGAACTAGCCGGGATTTAAAAATGGCGCCGCCCGGCTTATGCAAATGAAGCCCGGGATTTGAATTTCCCGGGCTTCATTTGCACGTGCGGTATGCCTACATTACCCTCCTAGTTCGAATTAGGAGGGTAGTGTAGACATACCCCCACCGACTAATAAGCAAGCCAAAAGGAGGTTCTTTGTTCCCCAAGAGGGCAACGAGCACCTGTTTTCTCACCCTCCAGGCTCCCTGGTGGTACAAGCCATCAACCACAGGGAAAGACAAGGCCATCCTGCTGCCACCCCTAAGAACAGGGTGGCCAAGAAGACTGACTGGCTAGGCAGAAAAGTCTACGCATCCGGGGGTATCCAGTACCACATTGCCAATCAGCAGGTCCTCTTGTCATGTTACACCTATAATACCTGGGAGTCCATGGACAAGTTCATGGACCTGCTCCCCAGGGACTCCCTCTCGCAGTTTAAGGCTCTCCATGAGGAGGGGAGAGCAATCTCCAGAGCAGCACTTCAGGTGGCTCTCAACATGGCAGATGCCGCTGCCCGAGTGATGGCCACAGGTGTGGTCCTATGAAGTAGTTCCTGGCTCCAGGGTTCTGGAGTTCCCCCGGTGCTCCAAAACACCCTCCAAGACCGCCCGTTTGAGGGCCCTTCACTCTTCTCTGAGGCTTCATGGCCTCAAGGATACCCAGGCTCAAATCCTCACCAATATACATTAACTGGGACCTGAGTGAAAGACAGGTTATTGGCAAAGCATGTCAATTAACTAAAAATAAAGCTTAGAGGCTAAAAGAATGGAAGAAACCACTACAGCTGGGACTATATAAGCAGACAGGAAGTTAATGCTACGGAGGCAAGTAGGGAGTCTGAAGGAAGGCAGAACAAGATAGGACTGGCTGCTGCTGCTAATACTGTACCATTATCCAGAAGCAAGTGAAGAAGCTCACAACTGACTGTAAGCACTATGTAAATAATGCTCCAGGCTGTGGCCTTCTGAAGGAATATAAAGCACATTGGTGGTTATGATGACCTGGAGTTGTGGTGGTCAGTTACTGAGGCTGGAAATGACTCTCAGGGGACTAACCTATGACACAACCACGCACAAGTTTTCTGAAATGTGCATCCCAAACAAAGAGAAAAAACTTGAAGGAAAGGCTCTACACCAGGTGGATAAATAACAACCTCAAAAAGATTATTAGGAATAAGCAGGGAGCCTATAAAGAATGGAAAAACCTCTAACATCCTTGAGGTTAGAAAATGTAAGAACTAAACTAGAATTGTTAAAAATCAAGATGTATTAACTCTTGCAAAGGAAATTAAAATAATCTTTAGTTTATATAAAAGGGTTTTGTTGGGCTTCTATGCAGTGTGGATGGGAAGGAAATTAAAGATAATCTAGATATGGCTCTAACTAAATTAATTCTTTGCTCTGCTTTTCAATAAGGATGATAATATGGAACATGAAAGCATGATGGAAATGAGTGTCTAGAAATGGAAATTACTGCATCTAAGCTGGAAGAAAACCAGAAAGGTCAACGTGCTCAGGGGTCTGAATAATTTCCATTCCAAAATATGAAAGAATAGTTAATGTCATACCTATATTTAAGAAAGGGGATAAATGTCATCCAGGTAGTCAGAATAAATAGGTCTGTAACTACTGTATAGAGCTTTAGAACACATTGTGAAGGAAAGAGCAAGTTCATGGGAGACAAATGCTAAAGGGGATGTAATGCAACATGGATTTGTCAAAAGTAGATCACCTCAAACTAACCTGATTTCCTTCTTTCAGAAAATACATTATTTTAGATAAGGGAAATGGAGTTCCTGGATTTCAGTAAAGCATCTGATATGGTACTACATGAAAAATTATTAGTTAAATTAGGGAAGATGTGTATCAGTACAAGATCTGTAAGATGGATAAGGATCTGGCTAAAAGGGGAGAAGGCTATGGTTTGTGCTGAAAGGTGAACTATTGGACTGGAGGGAGGTTACTCGTGGAGTTCCTCAAGGATTGGTTTTGTGAGCAATCTTACTCAATATTTCTATTAATGATCTTGGCATAGAAAGTAGGTGCATGCTAGTATCATCAGCAGATTTTATTAAGTTGGGGGGCACTGTCAATACAGAGGAAGATTGGAACATTATACAGGAAGATCTGGACTGGCTTGAAGACTGGAGTGACAGAAATGGGATATTTGGTGAAAATCAGGAATTTAAGAGTCTAGTAAAATGTTTTGCTACAAGTAGTGCCTCATCAGTTGGAAGCAATTGAGGAGAAGAAAGACCTGGATGTATGGCTTGGACCACAGGATGATTATGAGCCATTTGTATGAAGCAGCAGTGAAAAAAGGTAAATGAGATTCAAGGATGTATCAGGTAAGACATTTCCAATGTAGATAGACACATCATAATGCCAGGTACAAGGCACTGATATCATTTGGAATAACACATACAACTTTGGTTACCCATGTTGGTTACCCATGTTCAAGACAGATGAATTCAAACCAGAATAGGTGCAGAGAAGAGTTAATAAGTTGATCGGGGAACAAAGGGTCTAATTTTATGACAGGAGACTAGAAGAGCTTGGCTCATTAACGCTAGCAAAAAGAAGGTTGTTTCTATAAAGATACTAAGATGGTAAATACAAGTGAGGGTGAAGAGCTATTTAAGCTAAAGAACAGTGTTGGCATAAGAACAAATGGATGTAACATCACCATAATCAAATTCAGGCTGGAAATTAGAAGAAAGTTCCTAACAATGAAATGGGTGAGGTTCTGGACAAACCTCCTATTGGAATTTGTAGAGGCAAACAACTTACTTCGTTTCAAGAGGAAGCTGTACAAATTTATGAGTGAGCTTGTATGATGGGTTTGCTTGTGACAGTAAGGGGCAGTACCCCTGGTGCTCAATTCCAGTTTGTCTGTCCCTAAAAGCATATGTTTCCGGGTTTCAGGCAGCCACCTGCAGGGGACAGGAAAGGATATTTCCTCAGGTCTACCCCTTTCACCTAGCAGATTCTGGGTTTTCTTAATATAGTTCCCGTGAAGCATCAGGGACAGCCATAGCTGGAGAGGGATATTGGACAGGGAGGACTAGGACTCTGAGGTGGCACCAAGCATGCTCTCTTTCAAATGCCTGGCTGACTGGCTTTTGCTCATATCCTTAGAGTCTTAGTGACTGCCATATGTGGGGCTAGAAAAAAAATGTTGGGGGGTTTTCACTTTCCCCTGTAGTGTGTGGGTGCTGGTCATTTGTAAGAATTATCTGAGTATTTCTCACATAATCATTTCGCTGTCGATGGTGCATCTTGGTTCCTCCTATTTTCTGCCTGTGGCACACACTAGTCTTTTGTGGGCTGAAATACTTCAGTTTAATTTCAGTTGTTGCATTTACTGTGTGGCTTGTGATATACAGAAGGTCAGAATGGGGTGCCAATTTGGCTTTAAACTCTATGTTACTGTACTAAAAGCTATTTAACACCAAGCTTTCACCGTATGCCCTGAAGAGACACAACTCATTAATATTTGAGAAAAACAATGTGTTTTCTAAGCAATATTTGGGGGTTAAATCCAAATGCAGAGCCCAGCTTGCTTTTTAAAACTATGACAATATTCCCTCAATGGACTCTTGTTTCTGATATTTTGGACAATACCTTTACTAAGTATTCACAGGTTGTCAACAAGCACCATATGCAACATCAAAGAGAAGTTAAGTTGTTTAAACAAAGTTTGCTATACAGCCTCTCTCCGAGTTACGGACCAAATACTTGGCCGTAACTTGATCTGTTCATAACTCGGACCCCACTGAGTTACATAGCGACCGCGCTGTCCATTAGCGCAGGTCGTGTTCGTAACTCAGGGACCGCCTTTACAACTGCTCCATGGGAGCTTTGGTCGTAAATGTGAACGGTCGTAACCGTTCGCAACTCGGGGACCAGCTGTATAAGCAAGTTCAAGCCTCAACTCAGGAAAGTAATTTTATCCAGGAAAGTACTTAAAATTAAACATGTGATTACTAACTACAACAGAATCGAAGCACATGCATTTTCCCGAATTGCCGACCATGTTCTTAGTAGTACAATCTCCTGACGTATAAACAAGATTAGGTCTAATTTAGATATTGGTAAATTCAAGTTTTTAGTCCCATACAATTCTGATGAAAATATACATTTTCATTGAAGAACCACTTTAATGACTACATACAAAATAGAAGTTTTACTGAAATAAGTTTTTTAAAGCTTAATTGCACTACTTGTTTTTTTGTTTGTGTGGCCTTATAAAATTGTAAATTATGCTTGTTTTGACACTTTTAACTTAGATCTCCTGTTCTTCATTACCTGATATCAGACAATTGCAGCTGATGAGCAAGTTCATCTTTTAAACGGCTAAGTTCTTCCCTAAGTGGTAAGCTGCTTCTCAGCTTTTTTATTGCACTTTTTCCACTATCATCTAACCAGGAGCTGTAAAAAAAGAAAAATATATAGCTATTCAAGACTATTTTTCTCAGGCACACTATATTACTAGTTAAAAGCATTGTCCACTTTAAGAATTTATATCAAGTTACCTAATCAGGTAATGTTTTAAAAGAATCATTTTTTTTAATAGAAAAGAGTAAATCTATTTTTAGTGCAGTGGTTCTCAAACTTTTGGAACCCATGAACACCTCTCTCAAAAATGTCAAATCTCAAAAGCCACCTACTAACAATGAATAATTTCCAGGCATTTTCTCCCTTATCTGAGTATAAACTGTAAAAGCTGTGATCTTGGAAATATAAAATTTGTTTTTTGTTACATGCTTATTTACACTATTTATCATTACATTAATTTTATTATATCATGAAAATTGCAGCACTTTTCCAAGATGTCACTAGAGACCCTTGATCACTGAATACATGTAAGGACATATTTTATATAAATCATATTTTCTTTTCTTAATAAGCGATTTTCCAGGACCATTATGATCATTTGACTTACATCTTCCATACTCTGGACCTGACAAAACACTAGCTGATGTTGAATGTTAATTTTCTCATGTCTTTACTCTGTTTTCAGCCACTTAGAATCATAGAACACTTAGGACTGGAAGGGACCTCAAGAGGTCATTGAGCCCAATCCCCTGCCCTCATGGCAGGATCAAATACTGTCTAGACCATCCCTGATAGACATTTATCTAACCTACTCTTAAATATCTTCGCAGATGGAGATTCCACAACCTCCCTGGGCAATTTATTCGTGTTTGACTACCCTGACAGTTAGGAACTTTTTCCTAATGTCCAACCTAAACCTCTCTTGCTACAGTTTAAGCCCATTGCTTCTTGTTCTATCCCAGAGGCCAAGATGAACATGTTTTCTCCCTCCTCCTTATGACACCCTTTTAGATACCTGAAAATTGCTATCATGTCCCCCCTCAATCTTCTCTTTTCTAAACTAAACAAACCCAATTCTTTCAGCCTTCCTTCACAGATCATGTTCTCTAGACCTTTAATCATTCTTGTTGCTCTTATCTGGACCCTCTCCAATTTCTCCACATCTTTCTTGAAATGCTGTGCCCAGAACTGGACACAATACTCCAACTGAGGCCTAACCAGCGCAGAGTAGAGTGGAAGAATGACTTCTCCTGTCTTGCTCACAACACACCTGTTAATGCATCCCAGAATCACGTTTGCTCTTTTTGCAACAGCATCACACTGCTGACTCGTATTTAGCTTGTGGTCCACCATAACCCCTAGATCCCTGTACTCCTTCCTAGACAGTTGCTTCCCATTCTGTGTGTGTGAAACTATTTGTTCCTTCCTAAGTGGAGCACTTTGCATTTGTCTTTATTAAACTTCATCCTGTTTACCTCAGACCATTTCTCCAATTTGTCCAGATCATTTTGAATTATGATAGAAATGTAGCCGTGTTAGTCTGGTGTAGCTGAAACAAAAAAACAGGACTATGTAGCACTTTAAAGACTAACAAGATGGTTTATTAGGTGATGAGCTTTCATGGGCCAGACCCACTTCCTCAGATCAAATAGTGGAAGAAAATTGTCACAACCATATAAACCAAAGGATACAATTAAAAAAATGAACACATATGCAAAGGACAAATCAAATTTCAGAACAGAAGGGGGATCCTCTGAACTGTCATTCATGCTCAAATTCGACACTTTACGCTTAGATTTCAACAAAGACTCTAATTACCTTACCCATTACAAAGATAGCTTCCCCAATTATCACCTCTAATATCATTAGCTCACAGACATTTACCTTCCCCCCCCCTCCCATGCCCCTTCTGCACCTTGATAGAATGCACAGTGACTGGAGATGCAGGAACCCTTGCCAGGTTCTAGCATTCATATTGCTATCCATGATGAGATGTGTTGCGAGGAGACAGGCTGACCTTTCATTCTGTCTGCTACTGATAAATGGAATGATTTCCTAAACTGTTTCATTATCCTGCACTGCATCTATATTGCACAGTCTTGCGCAAGAACATATGCAAATGAGGCACAGCAATGACTATCGCCATGCCTCATTTGCATACTTGAACCGCCATTTTTGCACAAAGGGCTTTTGTGCAAGAAGGAGCAGTCTACGCTGCCCCTTCTTGCACAAAAAGCCCCTCTTGAGCAAGAGCCGTTCTGCTGCTTATTTTTGGGCAGAATGACTCTTGCGCAAGAGGGGGATTTTGCACAAGAAGAAGCAGTGTAGACTGCTCCTTCTTGCGCAAAAGCTCCTTGCGCAAAATGGCGGCTCATTAAGGATGCAAATGAGGTGCAGCAATATTCATTGCCGCACCTCATTTGCACATGTTCTCGCGCAAGACAGGGGAATGTAGATATAGCCTAGATGTATAAGGCCAGCATCCTGCAGATATCCAGAGAGTGAAGTCTCTGATGCCTGCTGCTGGAATGCGGGTTTGGCTAGGCTAGAACACCAGTAGAAAGATATTCTGGTGGATGTGAAACTGTCACAAACTTCAGGAGGGAAGTGGGATGATGCTTGAATTGCTTCTTGTCTTTATAGAACACACTGTAAGGGGGCTTGGATGTTCAGGCTCTAAGCTCAGACACTCTCCTGGCCAAGATTACTGCTACCAGGAACATCCTTGTATGAGAGGTAAGAGTAAGGAGCATGTCATCAACACTTCAAAAAGTGGCTGAAGTCCCAGGAAGGAATAGGCTGATGGATGTGCAGCTATAGCCTGTTGAGGCCTTTTAAAAACTTGCTGATTATCGGGTTAGCAAACACTGAACAGCCCTCCACACCTGGATGGAAGGTTGAGATGGTAGCTAAGTGCACCCTTACTGATGACAATGAAAGCCCCATCTGCTTTGGAGGAGGTAGTTCAGAATAAGTGGCATTGAGGTTAGTGGTGGGGAAGAATGTCACTGCACTAACCAGATTGAAAATCTCTTCCACTTGGTAAGGTAGGTAGCTCCCAGAGGGTTTCTTTCTGCCAAAGAGAACTTGCCTAACTTGGTCTGAACAGGAAAGCTCCATTGGATTTAAACACAGAGCACCCACACCATGAGGTGAAAGGATTTGAGGTTAGGATGTTGGAGGTGATCCTGATCCTACATCTGAAGGTCCAGGAAAAGTAGAAGGGTGACTGGTATTTCCATGACATGTCTATGAGAGATGTGTATCAGTGCTAAGGGGGCCAGGCTCGTGCTATCAGTATGACCTGAGCTTGTTCCCTCCGCATTTTGAGAAGTATCTCTGGATCTTGAGAAGTGGCTCTTTGCAGAAATGACCCACCTGCTTCTTATGGCTTTCTCCACAAGACTGGACTCTCTCTCTCTGCCTATTTATAGGGTGTCTGCTGAACTCTCACGTCATCTTTTTTTTGTCTCCCCTCTCTGGTAGATAACTATCTAATGTCCACCCAATTGGCTTTTAACTCTTTCTTGCCAGTGATGGGGATTCAGTCCATCACAGGAAGGTATTTTGACTGAATTGCAATTCTGATGCCACTTCAAGCAATAAACGGACTTCTCAGGGCTTGCCCACATAGACACTACTGCATAGCAAGTCAGGATATGACACTTACAGTACACTAGTTTGCCATGCATTAACTGGCCCTGTGGATCTTGTTACTGCACAATAAAAGATTTGTAATGGTATGCAGTTCATGAAAGTATACTGTGGAACTACTAGTGCACAGCAGTAGTCTGTATAGCCAGTCAGCGAGCAGCCAGCTAATGTGCTGTAGATTCTTATGTGGCAAGCCAGAGTGTGAAGTTGAAATTGTTGGCATGTCAACAAGGTATATTGTTTACTAGTAGGAATACAGTTAGATAGCAAATGTTATCTTTAAACACACACACAAAATAAAATAAAACTTTAAATGGTGCTTGTAATTCTGGTTGGCAACCTGGTAGTGCTTTTACTATACAGTACCTGGAAAAATATTTGAGACACTCTGAAATTCTAATTTATTTGAATCTTTCTCTAAGAGATAAATAATGATCTCCTTTATTGTATTTACCCTTTTAAACCATTTTAGCTATCCAAATGCTCTCTATACACAACTGATTAACTTCAATTTGTTTTTACAAGAGCAATATTATATTCCACCAATAAGTAAATGTACTAAACTCAAGCAAGAAAAAGGTCCATCTTCAAGTGACAATTTATATAAATTATGAAGTAATCATAACAGGCTCATGATATAGGAAAAAAGGATGTACAAATTGCATGTGGGCAGAAAGCTCATGAACTTAGATTAGTTTTTTTACAGTATAGTAGTACAATGACCTTATCTGCAAGGTACCCTGCAGACCTTATGCTCTAATTTATTTGGCACATGGCATGAACACCGCACATTTTAAATTATTATATTAGAGCAAATAAAATTAAACGGTATACTTTTTTTTGTTTCAATTCATTTTTTTTAAAGTGTCATATGATCAGTTCTTCAGAAATTAGTAGTAAGCTCAATTCAGAGTTTATAAACAATAAAGAGTACTAAGCAATATTGAGAAGTTGATTTTTAAATCACAACATATACAGTAATACATTTAGTGTAAGTTAACTGTATATGTTAATCGCCAAAGCTTTGGATATTTAAGATGGTACCCTAAGGTGTTACAAGATGTTACAAGTTTAGACACAAAAAGATATTTTTAGGCACCAAAAAAAATACAGACAATACAGATTCAGAGCATTTTACAGGGCTTAATAACATGGTGCACAATTGATGTCTCCACTCAGCAGATTTAAATCTATTATTTTGTGCTCCAAAAGATGTAAATAAATTACAGGCAGTCCCCGACTTACGTGGATCCGACTTATGTCGGATCCGCAGTTACAAACGGGGCTGCCCTGGAGGACATGGACTGCGGGACCTCGCGGTCCTGCCGCCCGTGTACTCCGGGGCTTTCTCCGCGTCTCCCTGGTCTGCAGACCAGGAAGACGCGGAGCA